CATTGGCCCTTAGCTCCACTGCATTTCTCCTGAACCCATTGTGCCTGTTTTGATTTAAATGCAACTTGAGACTTGTGGAGGATGTATGTGAACTTGTCCACTACCTAAATTATATGATTAACAAGTTCGGAGGCAGACTTGACTTCCATTCTGCAAGAAGTTAACTTCTGTATTGACCATACTTGTCAGAGGTTTGAAATTATATGATTAACAAGTTCGGAGGCAGACTTGACTTCCATTCTGCAAGAAGTTAACTTCTGTATTGACCATACTTGTCAGAGGTTTGAAGAAGGGCGCGTGGGAGAGGGGGGTTGTGGTTGGTAGTGGTGGTGTAATTCAAATAGGGGTAACTTTTCACAAATAGGCAGGGGTACAATGCATCTTTTTTAGTTTACCTTGGAGTTCTTTTTATTTGCATGTGAGAGATGATTTGAACGAGTGCATTGAGATCTATCCAAAACTTTGAATCAAGATTGTCTAATGCATTTCTCTTTCTTATATATTTATAAGATATAAAGATATCTTTCCTTTTTTTGTTTAATATGGTATGGATGACAACTTGAGCATGCAATGTTTACTTGTTTCCTTTTGACGATACATATGGGATAGCTATCTTTATTTCAACTCCATTGTTATGCTGTTTCTGGTCACACCTATTTATAATATATTTGATTACTTGATTTTGTTATTGTTGTTGTTAACTGAGCAATAGCAATTGGTCAAGTTATAAGTGTTGAATTTTCTATATATGCTCTGTAGGATGAAGACACAGCAAATTTTCAAGGAAACGAGACTGGTGATAACCAATCCAGTCGCACAGAGGAACTTCAGAAGGTGGTGCTCTGTGCTTAGCATTCTACAGTCATTCTTTCTTTTTTAGCATTTTACTGTCAATTCTTCCTAGAAATTGTTTTTATTTATTTATTGAAATAAGGGACGTTCTTGCTTTACAGGATGAATTAGAAACAGAAAATCCTTCTGAGGTTGTCTCGGTTCAACAAGAACAAGCCAAGCTAGAAACAGAAGTAGAGTACAATCAAAGAGATGTAGAATCCGAGCAACAGCAATTTTCACGCAGGCCATATCAAAACCAAAGAGGTGGTCGTGGTGGAGGTGGGCGTAGAGTAAACACCAATGGCCGTGGAGGTCGGGGCAGTGGAAGAGGAGGTGGACCCTACCAGAATGGCCGCAACCAGTTCTATGACCAGCCTGGAAATTATTATCCAAGGAACTACTATAACAGTAGGGGAAGGGGCGGTAGAGGTGGTGGGCCCTCTGACAACCACCACGGTTCCGCAGCTCAAGATGGCCATAACTCGGCCAACGTTGGAGTTGCATCATGACAATACTGTTAGTTTCCATAGGATGCTTCTTTACTAGTTTTTATAATGGGGGTTGTGATTGGGGGTGGGGGTGAAAACGTTTTCTGCATTGCATGAAATATTGTTTGGCTGTGGGTTTTGCTGTTGACGAATTCACCATCCAGGACGTCTTTTGGTCTTTTGTAGTTTCAGCTCATGCATTTTGTGGTCAAAAACTTTGAAAGAGGTAACATGTTGCAGTATTTTTGGGACATGATTTGACTTAATTTAACGCAGGTGCCTGCCTGCCTGATGATTAGATTTCTCCCTATGAGTAGTTCAATTATATCATTTCTCAAAGACCCTGGTAAATGAATCTGTTGCTGTGGCATATGTTCATGGTTGATGGTGGCCATGACCGCTACAGTCCCTATATGCTGATGTTTGTCTAATAATAGAATTTTGACAATTCCATTGTGAATGGCGATAACATATTAAACTCACATGTACTACACGAATGCTAGAATTCGAATCCATACCTTTCCTAAGCGGGCAATTGCTCCAACCATACCAACACATACCAACACACATCCGATGAGGGTTTATTTTTTATAATTAACTATCGTGGTTTGATTTCGGGGTAAAGTATGATCATGATTCATGTCTACTACAAAGTCCATTTAGATTAGATGTACCCCCTACTCTACGTCGCCCAAATAAATTAATCAGCGAATGAGATGCCAAACTATGCGTTTTTGGCTTTAATTGGCCCCCCTCTCTCTCAAAGCAAGATTGCTTTTGTTTATAATCTTCAAAAGCATATCTACTTGTGAATAAACAGATTGATTCATTGGTGGGAGGTAGAGACCAATAAGGAACGAATTGAAAATCAAATGAGTCCTAACACCACAAATTATCACTCAATTTTTCATCTTTGGAAGAAAAAAAAATTATAAAACTTTTTCAGATCGGTCCCAGTATAGTCCTATCCTATGTCAGTCTCTGGTACAGGAATAAAACTTTTTCAGTTTTAGTGGTCTTCATATTTTGGCTTTTTCTTTTCTTTTTTTTTTAAATTTAAAATTTTAAACTTCAATCATAAATGAAATATGAAGATGTTTCTAGCCAAAAGAAATATAAAATTAAAAAGGAAAGAAAAACATGTTGTATTTGTTATTATGGGTATTCAGCCGCAATTTGGGTCTCCCTGTGATTGGATTAACATAAATATTTTTTCCAAAAGCGATTATCATTTGTGGTTTGGCGTTGTGGGTGGTAAGTATGGTCGCTTTTGCTTTATGTGCATGCATGGGTGGCGCGCAACTCGGACGAAGCAAAACATGGGAGCCCTACCTGTAAAGTACAAAAAACAAGATGCTCTTTTTGTTCTTTTGTTTTGCTCCACTGTAGTAAAAAAAAAAGGGCCCTAATTACAATTACGCTGACTTTTAGTTTTAAATTGGATGCTAATGGAGAGAGAATATATTTATCCCATTTTTCTCTTTGCGGTAAGTTCTCCATTAACATATTTTACTTTTGATACGTTGTTTTCATTTCTTTTGACGTCAGATCATAATTTCCTTCTTTTTACCATTGAAGGTAATAATATTGGTCAATTAAAAAGAAGGGTAAAGCCCAATAATAAACCTCAAATCAACTCATAAATATAAACTTTAAAAAACCGTTGGAATGAAAAAAGTCTCACTAGTGCAGTGATTTGGAACAATTGTTCTCAAAGACAATATATGAGCAGTGTACATAATAAAATGGTAGTTGTGTTAAACATGCAACGAATCGGGTTCTTTGTTATAGGTCATCATACAACTCCCTTTTGCCCACTGCCACTATGTAACTAGTATATAAACCCCCCTTGCCCACCACTTACAAATACCCCAACATTTCTTTCTTTGTTCACTAATTTGATCAAACAAAGAAGAAGAAGAAGAAGGAGAAGAGAAAATGGGAAACAACTCATCACACGTTCTAGACTACTCCGATGATGATTCGTCAGGCGGAAACAAGTCTCGCATCATGGCCTTCCATTCCAAGGACCAATGGAACACTCACTTCAATGCCTCCAAAGAAAGCAACAAACTGGTATTTATAAGCGCTCTCTCTCTCTCTCTCTCTCTCTCTCTCTCTCTTCCCTATGAGTAGTTCAATTATATCATTTCTCAAAGACCCTGGTAAATGAATCTGTTGCTGTGGCATATGTTCATGGTTGATGGTGGCCATGACCGCTACAGTCCCTATATGCTGATGTTTTTCTAATAATAGAATTTTGACATTTCCATTGTGAATGGCGATAACATATTAAATTCATATGTACTACACGAATGCTAGGATTCGAATCCATACCTTTTCTAAGCGGGCAATTGCTCCAACCATACCAACACACATTCGATGAGGGTTTATTTTTTATAATTAACTATCGTGGTTTGATTTCGGGGTAAAGTATGATCATGATTCATGTCTACTACAAAGTCCATTTAGATTAGATGTACCCCTACTCTACGTCGCCCAAATAAATTAATCAGCGAATGAGATGCCAAACTATGCGTTTTTGGCTTTAATTGGCCCCCCTCTCTCTCAAAGCAAGATTGCTTTTGTTTATAATCTTCAAAAGCATATCTACTTGTGAATAAACAGATTGATTCATTGGTGGGAGGTAGAGACCAATAAGGAACGAATTGAAAATCAAATGAGTCCTAACACCACAAATTATCACTCAATTTTTCATCTTTGGAAGAAAAAAAAATTATAAAACTTTTTCAGATCGGTCCCAGTATAGTCCTATCCTATGTCAGTCTCTGGTACAGGAATAAAACTTTTTCAGTTTTAGTGGTCTTCATATTTTGGCTTTTTCTTTTCTTTTTTTTTTAAATTTAAAATTTTAAACTTCAATCATAAATGAAATATGAAGATGTTTCTAGCCAAAAGAAATATAAAATTAAAAAGGAAAGAAAAACATGTTGTATTTGTTATTATGGGTATTCAGCCGCAATTTGGGTCTCCCTGTGATTGGATTAACATAAATATTTTTTCCAAAAGCGATTATCATTTGTGGTTTGGCGTTGTGGGTGGTAAGTATGGTCGCTTTTGCTTTATGTGCATGCATGGGTGGCGCGCAACTCGGACGAAGCAAAACATGGGAGCCCTACCTGTAAAGTACAAAAAACAAGATGCTCTTTTTGTTCTTTTGTTTTGCTCCACTGTAGTAAAAAAAAAAGGGCCCTAATTACAATTACGCTGACTTTTAGTTTTAAATTGGATGCTAATGGAGAGAGAATATATTTATCCCATTTTTCTCTTTGCGGTAAGTTCTCCATTAACATATTTTACTTTTGATACGTTGTTTTCATTTCTTTTGACGTCAGATCATAATTTCCTTCTTTTTACCATTGAAGGTAATAATATTGGTCAATTAAAAAGAAGGGTAAAGCCCAATAATAAACCTCAAATCAACTCATAAATATAAACTTTAAAAAACCGTTGGAATGAAAAAAGTCTCACTAGTGCAGTGATTTGGAACAATTGTTCTCAAAGACAATATATGAGCAGTGTACATAATAAAATGGTAGTTGTGTTAAACATGCAACGAATCGGGTTCTTTGTTATAGGTCATCATACAACTCCCTTTTGCCCACTGCCACTATGTAACTAGTATATAAACCCCCCTTGCCCACCACTTACAAATACCCCAACATTTCTTTCTTTGTTCACTAATTTGATCAAACAAAGAAGAAGAAGAAGAAGAAGGAGAAGAGAAAATGGGAAACAACTCATCACACGTTCTAGACTACTCCGATGATGATTCGTCAGGCGGAAACAAGTCTCGCATCATGGCCTTCCATTCCAAGGACCAATGGAACACTCACTTCAATGCCTCCAAAGAAAGCAACAAACTGGTATTTATAAGCGCTCTCTCTCTCTCTCTCTCTCTCTCTCTCTCTCTTATATATATATATATATATACACATAATCTTTGAGTTTTTGTTGTTGTTGTACTAATTTGCATGGTGGTGGTGTTGATGAAAAAACTTATATAGATGGTGATAGACTTCACGGCAACATGGTGTGGACCTTGTCGAGCCATGGAGCCAACATTGAAAGAGTATGCTGATAAATACACAGACGTTGAGTTTATCAAGCTCGATGTAGACGAGTTATCGGTATATATATTTTCATTTATTTATGCATCATGAATTTTTGTTTCTATATTATTGAAATAATAATAATAAGGATTTGAGCGATTGATATTAATTGTGTATATGTAGGATGTGGCTAGGGAGTTTGGTGTGCAGGCAATGCCTTCATTTGTTTTTGTGAAGAAAGGGGACGTGATTGATAGGGTCGTGGGGGCCAGGAAGGAGGAACTCCAGAAGAAGATTGAGAAACACAGGAAATAAAATAAAACACCATGAAGGATGAAGAAGCTTGATGGCTGATGGCTGATGCTGTGAGTGAAATTAAGCTCGATCGATCGGGAATATGATGATGGGGAAATAAAGCCAACAAAAAAATAAAAAAGGAAGCTAGAATAAGGTGTCTCCATCCCGGGGCGGAGCCATGTAGGGACCAATGTGGTTCAGGGTCCCCTCAATTTGTTTACCCTTTGTATTTATATATTATATATGATATAAATAGGGAGCTGATTTTCCTACTCCCTTTTACTTTTTAATAAATTTTGTTCTTTTTGGTTTTTCCTCTCTCACTATACATTTGTCTAGGCAAAATTACATAGTCCAACTGCAAAAACTCATGCCCCATGAATAAACCTTGCAGCCATAGTTTTAGTTTTCTATTTTTATTTTTTAAGAAAATAAATTTTAGGCGGCCACAAAGGAAAAAGAAAACAATAAGGGCATCCCCTCTCTTTCTTTCTTTCATGCATGGCGGAGTTATGGTGTTTGTATTTATCAACTGTTATTTCACTTTGATTTTAATTATAAATGGTATGTGGCTTCTCTTCTCTTGCTCTCCTTCCTTTGAGAAGGGTTCAAATCCCACTCAATACTAGTATTACTAGAACTCAATTATCCAATTCAATGCAATCACAACTTGCTTTAAAATCTCAAATTTGATCCCTACAATAATACATATTGAATTCATGGATTTCACATGATTCTTACATATAATCAGCTAACGTTTGGTTTAGTAATCTCTTTTTCGCAATATCAAAAAAATTCTCAACTTTTCATCATTATTATATATATAAAAAGTAGGTATGTTCGTACTTTAAGCACTCCGTGAGATTCTTACCACTATGGTATTGTATATTCATTGGCGCTCGTGCACACGTTGAGCATCACCTTTTCAATCCCACCACAAAGAAAAAGGAATAAAAAGGGTGATGCTCATAAAATGCAGGCCAGAAGGGGTTAATGGTGGAGCTTGGTGCGTTTCCTAATTAGGAATTAGCATTCTTATTTGGAATTGAATTCCAACTATGAAGGATTCATGCGTTTACTTCACGTCAAGAAATTAAAAAGTAAGTATGGCCCACACAAAATTAGGAATTGAATCTGATTTTGGAGGAATTCAATTCTTGGGTGGGAGGTGGTACTCTAATTCCAGGAGAACTAACCCATTAGGAATTCATCTTTTTTTACCCATTATATCCTCATATAATTTTAAAAATTCCAAATTTGCCATTTACTTGAACCCAATAATGAGGATATTTTAGTAATTAGAATCACTCATATCCCAATTTCATATGATTTAGTAAACAACTTCAATAGGAATCCGGAATCTAATTCTCCTCAATCCAACTCATCCTCAATTCAATTTCTCATAATCTTAAGACTTATAAAGAATGAAGAGAGTTGTAATGAGTTTAAAAGTCCGGAGGTATTCAACTATGACTTTTAAAGACATAGCAATCAATACGTTGGACTTGGAGGTAGAAAAATATGCCATGCCCTCTAAATAAGCATGACTTAAATGTTTGTACCATCACCAACCCCAACGGTCAAGCAGAGACAACAACATGCAATGAATTCAAGCAGATTGACTTATAATATATGAACATGGACCAAAGTCTGTACAAGCTTGACTTAACAGGAGAAATAATTAGAGAGAGAAGCAGCTTGAAGCTAAAACCAGTTCATCATTTATGAAGAAAAAAAACACATTATACAAATGGTTTTTCCATCATTCTCAAAAAGGAAAGGACTAATAGCTATTTTGCTATTACACTGATTAATTTGAAATGGAAGGCCCCATCCAACCCTAAAACCTTTGCTTCCTAGTATGCACAATTAAGCAGTGGAAACATTAAATATTTACAAAATTTATCTTAATTTGCCAATTAGAGTTAATGGACTTGGCATCCAAGTTAGGCATGAACTCTGATCAAACTAGGAATTAATCGGCTCGACCAAGCACCCTTCTCAGATCACTTTTCTGTTCTGCACTCAGCTTCGATGGAAAGACGACGTCAAACTTGATCCTGAGGTTTCCTTTCTTGGTGGGATCTTTTGAGATGGGCATTCCCTCATTAGGGATCAATTCCTCATGACCAGGTTTAATTATATCTCTCACTGGGATCATCAGAATCCTTCCGTCTAAGGTTGTCAGATTGACGAAAGCCCCCGTGAGAGCCTCGAGTAGAGATAACTTCTGAGTGACCACAAGGTCATTCCCATCCCTCTTAAAAACACCATGGGGTTTTTCATCGACCACGAATATAAGATCTGCCGGAGAGACTCCTGGTTCTTGGTTGCCTTTCTCTGGGAAGGTGATTTTCGTACCCTTCTTCCAACCAGGCTTGATGTCTATCTTTAAGATTTCCTCAACTGTCTTCGGCTTACTGCAACAGAGTTTTCTCAACATTAGACCAAACAGAACTAGAGGACAGAATCACTCAAGGGCAAAAATGTTTTAGTTAACTAAATGTCTACAAGCCTATTACAAAGAAATTTGGTTACACCAGACTAAACTGAGGGCTGCACTGTAGATTTCTACCCAGGACTTAACCCTAAATCTCCAAAGAATCATCAATTCAGCACCAATTCGCAAGCTACTAGATTGCTAAGTGATTAAAACGAAAAAGGACAATCTTCTCAAATTAAGAAACTTCATGAGGCCTTAATTCCCTTCCCTTTACAGGAGGGAGACAAACAAAATGAAATCTCACCCCAAATCAATAACTTATAAATAAATAAAAAATCATTCAAAAGTAAAAGTCAAGATCAGCTAAACATCTCCAAATGTCTGGTTTAATTAATTAGCAAACTCAAACACCTACGCAAAACAAAGCTGCTCGATCCAATTTTAAACCTATAATGTATATATGCTTAGATCAAACCAAATCAAAGTCAGCGAAGGAGTCAACATGCTAAAAACACTCTAGATTAGGAAACAATACAAACACATCATTTTCCAAAAATTCCAAATCCCAATTAAAGAAAAAACAAATTTTGCAGCAATTCCCACATATAAATATATAAAATGAACCTAAAAACAGAGAGAGAGAGAGAGACAGAGAGAGAGATTAGAGCACTCACCCAAATTCATCAGGAACAGTTCTTGAAATCCTCATCTTCCTTCTGGTCCCTTTGTACAAATCCTCCAAACTACACACCAACTTACTCTCAATCGCCGCAAGCTTCTTACTTTTCCCGCCACCACCACCGCCATAACTACCATTAACGCTGTTCTTCTTCTTAAACACCCTGTCTCTGTCCCCAGATCCACCGAAGAACTCGGCAAAAATATCATCTGGGTCACCATAATTGAGCCCTTCCTCGCCGTAGATGTCATAGATCTGACGCCTCTGGGGGTCGCTGAGGACATCGTAGGCCTGGCAAACTTGCTTGAACTTGGCCTCTGCTCCTTCGTTGTCAACTGGGTTCTTGTCCGGGTGCCACCTCATCGCCAACCTCTTGTACGCCTTCTTCAGGTCCTCCTGGGTCGCGTCCCGGTTCACTCTCAGCACGTTGTAGAAGTCCACGCCCATCTGATTCTCCAATCAACGGCTACGCTTAATTTTCCGCTGTGAATTGAAAGAGAAGAATGTAGATATCTGTGGGTTTGAATTTCAAAAACCAGAATTATGAAATGGGGGCAATCGGAGAGAAAAAGCTGCGAGTAGGCCGGTTGTGAAAGTGCATGGCGAGCAAAACCCAAACGAAACGAAACGCGGTTTTTCTAGTTTTAGATTTAGAGTGTGGAGATTTTTGAGCGCTTAGTTTGTTACGCGTTTCCTCAGTGTTGTTGTTGTCGATAAGGTAGGTTGCTCCAGGAGCAAGAAGGACACAGAGGGTATTAATATTAAATAAAAACCACAACGTGCAGAGTGGGGGGGAGCTTGAAGAAACAAGTATCTTTGTAGACTTTGTTTTTTTGTTTTTGGTTTTTTTAAGAATTAAAAGAAAATATTTACAGTTGCACATATTCTGGTCGGTCGTTGATGCTGGTGATGAGGTACATACAATGAGTGATAGTGGCCGCCATCTTTGGACACGTAATGTTTCCACAACACGACACCGTTTTCTACTTTTTTTTTATTTAGTTAACTTTGGTTAATTTAATTTAATTTAATTATTGATTGTTCATTACGCCGCCCTTTCCTTTTTCAAGCTTTGCTATATGTGACATTGTGAGTATGTGATCCATTTTATTCTTCCTTTTGTAAAGTATAGTTGTAATTTTGGGGTGTCGACCGACTTTGTGGCTTTTAATAATAATGCAGCTGGCAAGTCAAGTGGTGAATTTGATTGAATTACGAAAGAAGCAATGCAAATGGTGTTAGTTGTTATTTTTGCTTATTGGACAAGGAGTTATTGTCAATGTCAATGCTACTTTGCATTTCAAAAGTCTAACAATGTCTTTTGAAAAGAGAAACTTCCCTACGTGATATTAGGGGTGGGCATCGAGACCAAAAAATTAGAACATTGAGTCATATCGGAAAGAAAAAACTCGAAAAAAATCGTGTTGATTAAAAAAGTCAACAAACTAGCATCGAACTGGGCTGGTTTAAATCAGTTTTGATGAAGGTTTCACACCTTATACTTGCCGGCTGTGAAATTTTTTATTTAAAAAAAAATTATTTAAGTTCAATGCCAAATTTCTAATCTCATAACTAATATTTTTCCAAGTCCAACTTCAAAGCACCTCTCTTGTCTAGGCCCAATTATCTCTCTTTGTATGAAATTAGGTCATTTATGAATTAGACCAGACCACACCCACTCCTACGTCATATCACCTATCCGAAAAATCGAGAGATAGAGAGAGACCATAAAAGGAGAATACATAAATTTTGCAATTGTTTGAGAATATTTCTAAAGAAAGTAAGCGTTTAAAGTTTTTGTGAAACGTAATCAAAAGCATTTCTTCTTCTTAATAGAAAGGAGATTGGCTACCTACAACTTACGAGTGCAACTTTTGTATTGGATGCCACCATAGAGGTCATGATGTCATCATCTTTCACATGATCAAATGGCACAGATGGCCCGATGTATTGGGATGGTGGTAAAGCTTAGCCTACTTTGGCCTTATTCTGGTGGGGGTGGTAGGTCGCTCTCAAACGTGATGATCAAAATGTAAGACTTATTAAGCATAAGCAGCTAAAAATACTTACCTTGATTTGCCACAAAGTTGTCGAGATATGTAAAATTGGTACACGTGATCTTCTCCTCAATTCGATTCCTCACACACTCATTCAAGATAGGTGAATACTTTAGTGTAGGTTGCACAGTGGATTGAGCATGAGCAATTGTATTTATATGCATCTACCTAAGAGTCTTACCTATCAAGAAATTCTCAACTAATCCTTTTCACAATGAAGTAGGAATCCTTCTAACTCTTGTATTAGGAAAGTAATACAAAACGGAAAGAGGGATAAAAGCGAAAGTTGTGGTTTTCCAATTCCATTAGGAAAGTAACTCTGGAAACTGGAAAGTTTAAAGGACTTGGAGAGTTTGGCTTATGAATTTAATTAGGAAACCTTCTTTAATTTTGTAGGTGTAGAGAAGGTCAAAGGTGAAAATGTCTTTATTTTCTAAGTGTGCTTTTAGTTTTACTCTTTAAAAGTAACGGTCGAACATTGCCACTTGAATGGGAACAATACAAGCATAGAGTTATTACTTAGTAGCCGTTTGACATTACTTATTTGGGGTGATAAGTGATTTTTTAAAATTTTTGGGAAGCACAATCCGTTTGGTAAACTACGAGAAAATCACTTATTGTTAAAAATTGTTGTAAGAGAAAGCTATAAGGGAAAGCAGCTAATGAGGTGTTTTCATTTTCTGATTATGCGGGAATCAGTTTCGAAAAGGCGCTAGGTTTAATGAAATTTACAAACTTCCGAAAATTCCCCAATCTATTTTCACACAATCTCTTCTCTTCATGCGTCTTCTCCTTCACGTCCCTTTGCTTCTTCACGCCATCTCTTTCACAGAGTTCTTATTCTCTTGAATCTCTTCTATTCTTCGTATTATTTTTTTCTTGTTGAATCAAATGAGCCACAAGACTCAAGTAAGAGGCATATTATGTTTATTTCTTCCCTCTTTCTCTTTAATTTCTAGGGTTTTAACTTCAATAGTTGTTGTTGTTGTTGGTTTTTTTTTTCTTTTCTATTCATGTTTTTGTTTCTTTGTTTAATTATTTTTTTCTTCCGATTATGGTGCTTTGTAACCCTTGCATTTGGAGATATGTGTAGCTATTTATTATTGTTGTTTTTCTGCTTAGCCTATACAGGGGATTGGATTGGCTTTAGTTTGGTTTGTATTCCTATGAGTTGTGGCTAGTTTGGTTTGTTTTGTAATTCGCTTAGCAGAGTAGCATAACTCTAGTTGGCTTACCTCTATATACAAATCCTTCTTCGCAATATAAGGATTTTGTTTTTCTTGTTGTGTGTTTACCATCTTGCATTTTTTGCCTTCACCCTCATGTTTCTCCAAAACTAATTGCAATTTGAAACTTATATGAACAATATAAATTTTGGTTTATTTATTTATTTTTAAAATCTTGATTTTCATGAGTGTCTGTATGTTGGGTTAAGGGCTTTGGTGGGTGATTGACTGAGGACAAGTGTTTGTTGGCTGCCTTAATTGCTTAATGTTGCCTTGTAGGATTGGTTGGTGAGATTTTAGAGGACTTTGCATGGTGCTTTCTAATTTCCATAGTAGAGAATATTTTTTTTATTGATGGAACAGAGTATGCTTGGGTGTTCTTATTAGGATAAAAGATGTGGGCAGCAAAAGTGCATAATTCAATACTTTTTCTTGTGGGGTGGAGAAAATTAGCAAGGATGGATTTGGTGTTTTGCCTTTACGAGTTTGGTGACCACCTTTTCTATTCTTCTACACATAAAGGGAATAAATTGTACTTGTTTTTTTCTGGGTAATCTTATTACACCTTAAGCATTTATAAGTTGAGATATATCTATGATTCCATTCTTTTTGCTTATATATATAATGTCTTTGTTGCAATCAGATGACAAAGAGAAATAGTAACTTCACCACGACTGAAAATGTTGCAAGTGAATCTCGAAAATTGTCAGCACTGATGCACAACAAGAAGATGGGCCTATAACACAAGAAATGGAGGCTTTGAGAAATCATATAGCCTCAAATTTAATGAGTTCATTTGGTTTAATTTTTGTTATTACCATATTATTGACAGAATATTTATTTTTAATGGAACATATTGGATTTAACTTGAAACATTAGTTTAGAGCATTTGGATAGAAATATTTAATTTTCAACATAATACTTTATTTATTTTATAATTAAAATAATTTTTAGAGTGTGATGGAAACATATTTAATACAATATATATTGTATACCATTTTTAGTCATTATACACCGCTCACAACATTTTCACAAAAAAAATTTACCAAACACTTAGAAATTGATTATTGTACCAACAATACTTTTAACAAAAAGTTTACGAAACGCTAAACTGATTTCTCTCACACCAAATCTGACAGTGATTATTTTCACAGCACAACAATGCCAAACTGAATTGTTAGAATATCGCTTTACCCAAAAAATTTACTACCCAATGGTAAACAGTAATTTAAATTTAATAATTGACAAAGAAATACATATAATATTCATATGCATAATAAAATATGTAGATATTTTCATATTCACATGACAAAAAATATATAGGTGATTTTTTCATAAAAGGTAAAATAACAATCTGCTTATGATCTCTCACGGCGTTGCAAAGATTTGGCAACGCGGCAATGGTCCTGGCAATCACACCAACCCCACGTCCTCATCATCATCTCCTTCTTCACAGCTCCAATAATGGAGACTCACGCACCCACCTCCACGCCCATCTTCTCCACCTGTTGAACGAGTGTACGGACATGTCTCAGCTCAAGCAGATACACGCTCACACATTGCGCGCCACATCGACCACAAACCCACACACCCTCTTCCTCCATAGCCGAATCCTCCATTTCTCTTCGCTCGCCGACATCAACTACGCCTTTCGGGTTTTCAATCAGATTGAGAACCCCAATTCGTTCATGTGGAACACTCTCCTCAGGGCCTGCGCACGAAGCTCTCAGCGCGAAGAGCAGGCCATATTGCTTTACTGTAGAATGTTAGCTGACGGGGTTGCTATGCCGGATCAATATACGTTCCCTTTTGTTCTTAGAGCTTGTGCCTACTTGTTTGCCTTGTCCGAAGGGAAACAAGTGCATGCCAACGCTGTTAAACTTGGGTTTGATTCGGATGTTTATATTAGCAACAGTTTGATTCATTTGTACGCTTCTTGTGGGCGTTTGGAATTGGCGAAGAAGGTGTTCGAGAAAATGCGCAAAAGAAGCATTGTGTCCTGGAATGTTATGATTGATTCGTTTGTTCGGGCTGGCGAGTTTGAGACTGCGCTGAAACTGTTTGGTGAAATGCAGAAGATGTTTGAGCCCGATGGGTATACAATGCAGAGCATTATAAATGCTTGTGCTGGTTTGGGTGCGTTGTATTTTGGGATGTGGGCTCATGCTTATGTGTTGAGGAAATGTGATGGTGGTCTTGCTAACGATGTTTTGATCAACTCTTCGTTGATTGATATGTATTGCAAATGTGGGTCCTTGGAAATTGCTCAGCAAGTCTTCGACAGAATGCCTAAACGTGATGTAACTACATGGAATTATATGATTCTAGGATTTGCAATGCATGGTCAAGCTGAGGCTGCCTTGAAATATTTTGAACGTTTGGTTAAAAAGGAGACCTTTGCGCCCAATTCTATCACATTTGTTGGTGTTCTGAGTGCATGTAATCACAGAGGCATGGTAAACGAAGGACGCAAGTTTTTCGATATGATGGTAAACGAGTACAAGATTGAACCCCGATTAGAACACTATGGATGCCTAGCTGATCTCTTGGCACGTGCTGGCTTCATCGACGAAGCTTTGAATTTGGTGACAACAATGCCCATGAAACCCGACATTGTAATATGGAGGAGTCTTCTTGATGCATGTAGTAAGCAGCATGCTAGTGTTGAGCTAAGTGAAGAAGTGGCCAGGCAGATCCTCGAGTCTGCAGGAGGCCGAGGAGGTGTTTCTAGTGGTGTTTACGTGCTTCTGTCAAGAGTATATGCTTCAGCTAGCCGTTGGAAGGACGTTGGATCGATTAGAAAACTAATGACAGATGACGGTGTAGCAAAAGAGCCCGGCTGTAGTTTGATAGAGATAGATGGTGTTACCCATGAATTTTTTGCAGGGGACACATCTCACCCTCGCAGTAGAGAAATATATAGGGTTCTGGATGTGGTTAAAGAAAGGCTTGAAGTAATGGGTCATGACCTAGTGAGAGAATAGCCATTGCCTTTGGGCCCTTGAGCTTGAACCCTGGCGTGCCCATACGCATATTCAAGAACCTGAGGATATGCAATGACTGCCATAAGGTAACCAAATTGATCTCTAAAATGTTCAACGTGGAGATTATCATGAGAGATCGTGCTCGATTTCGTCACTTCAGAGATGGCATCTGCTCTTGTATGGATTATTGGTAACTTTTCACTGTTGTACGATTGTATCACGAGTCAGCAAATGTATAGAGAAAGGCTATTTGCCGACATTTCGTCGACATTTTCAGGCAAGAGGCTTGGCTTTGGCCTTCGCACGTTGTGAACATTTTAAACAATAATTAAAAAAGAAATTAGCTAGTGGGTTTGGTTTGGGGTCAGCGAATCTTCACCTGTTTCCCATTAGGTATCTATCAATAACCTGCGTTTAAAGCGGGAGAAAGTCTTGGGTGGTGTAAATCATGTTCCTCAGATTTCAAAGTAGCACATGTTTACGCCACCAAAATACTTACTTAAATAAATAAATAAATGATTAAATCCAGAAATAATTGTTACAGGAAGAACTGGCAGCAGGAGGAGGAACAAAGCCATGAATTCATACATTTCAAGTTCAAGGCAACAACGTTAGCATATGTCCTTCCACCATAGCCAACGACATCAACTAAAGAAAGGGCTTTCCCACCATTCTCTTTGATTCGAATCCTTTTAAGCTTTAACATACAAACAAGTCTTAATCCATATCTACAGAAGACGCAGTAGCCTGACCAAAACTTTGATTTCCATTTGATACCTCCCCCTCCTATAATAAACCTTGTTTTGCAAGAGATTGCCCAACTGATGCATCAAAATTGAAAACAAAAAAACAAATCAGAAAACCAATCCAAGTCTGAAAACAGATTATGTTTTAACAAGCTAGAAACTAATAAAAGGCTCACCTTTTGAATCTGACGGCACCAGAACAACCTGCATAGTGACATTGTTTGGGGGAAGCTGCAAGCGAAGGGGAAAGAGCTGGCGATTCAAAGGGCTTCGAGCACAAACAATGAGACCCTCAATCCCTGTCTCTTCCTCCAGTTTACGAGTCAACTCATCAACCCCATTTCCTTTGAAGGTCACAGGGTAACCCTGCGCTGTTCCATCGTCCACATCACCATTATCTTCAGCTATATGGTAATATATCGTCCTCCCCTCCGACTTTGGTGGCGACTCAGAATAAGAATCACTAGACTGCAACACCAACATGAAAAAAAAAATTACTCAAAATTCGAAAGATTTCACCTTTAAAGATTTAAGGAAGAAAATAGAAAATCCCAATTCTTAAACAAACCTCTTGTCTGGAAAAATGGTCGGATTTGATCGAAACAGAAGAGGGAGAGCTGGAATCGAATTCCAGGGAATCGGAATGGGGAAGAGGCGGTGGGGCCGAGGGTTTATGCACCGGAGACTGAATATGAATCTCGACGATATCCACATCCCACAAAACCCAATCTTGAGTGGCGGTTCTGTGAGGAATGTCGTGGGTCACCGAGTTGCGCCACGGCGGCAGTCCCCCATTGGCTCGAAGGAAGTTGCCGTACCGGGTCCGGAGCCGGACCTGGGTGCCTTCTCTGATGGGCTCCCACTCCACCGACGAGTCGAGCCGCTGGGGCAGAGTCTGGAGCACTTTCCGGCCGGTCATGCCGAGCAGGTAGGGCTGGTTGGAGGCGGTGAGGTACTTGCCGAAGCAGCTCTTGAGGCGGATGATGGTATCGGATTCGGATACGAACTCGACGGTCCATCGGCCCTTCTTGGATGACCCGTTTCGGTCTTGGGTCACGGACTCTTCGTCCTCCTCGGCTAGGAGGTACTTGTCGTGGTGGCTGCGGAGGCGCACCGCCTTGGCGTTGTTGAAGAGGTTCATGGCGCTTCTGAACTTGTTCGAATTGGTCTGATTGGAACAGAAAAAATTGAGTTAAAGATTTGAACTGAGAGAAAAGAAGGTTTGAATCTAATTGGGATTTTTCAGTTTCGGATTCAGACAAGCAAGCGAATGAAAAATCTTATCCTTGCATTTGTATTTGTATTTGTATTTGTATTGCTTGTGAGTTACGACAAAGGCTGGTCAGCGCCATCACACAGCGGAGTTAGTACAACGCGGTTCTGTGTACGTGGCCTGGCTTCTTCGTAGTAGGTTCCGTGTGGGAGGCTATGATGGGCCCACTACATTTATGGACCTGGGCCGAGCCCATTTATTGTTAATTATTTTATTTAAATTTGTTTATTTTTTATAGATATTTAAATTTGTTTTGAGATAAATAGTAGATTATTAAGAAAAACGGCCTAAAGCCAAATCTAAATTAGAAAATTTAAGACACACAAGTCATTGAAGAAATCTCCATCATCTATTTTATTGTAATTGCGCGTTCCCTTGGCAGAATAAATAAATAAATAAATAAATTGATATCTTCATTTTGAAGCAATTTATAAAAAAAAAGGTATTGTCCAAAGCCATATGTGAACGTACCTAGAAATATCAAAATCATCCCAACAGAAAACAGGTATGATCTATCTTGCTTTTCTGTGTATTTATTATAGTTTGGATAACAACTAGTAATTACGCGCTTGCATATGACAAAGATGTATAACTACATCAAGTTCAAAATGATGTTTTTTATGACCAAAATGTTTTGTGTTGGTTTAAAGTAGTGCGGTTTTTTGTGTCCACTTTCTCTCTGCCCATTAAGTTGTAGTGCTTAAGGGTTGGTGTGCAGTTTGCATACAAAAATATCACTAATAATATGCCAAATAAGGAGACAAAGATCAACCTGCAATATTGTAATTAAACAAACAAACAAACAAAAGAGATGAAAATTTGCAACTTCAAAACAATATTTTACTAAAAAAGGTAAATTCGATAGCTTCCATCTTTTTGCTTCTAGAATACACAATTCCCACATTTTGTGTTAACCTTTTCATTTTCAACCACAAAGTAAGATTCATATTATATATGTGAGATCAACACCAAGCTCCCACTCACAAAAGGTGGTGTCTGATATTTTTACACATCACTTTAACTCAAGTTTACGCTCATTACCTTTCTTAATACTTGACACGTGTTTTTAGATATAATTATGATTAACTTTTTGTTTTGATTTATATAACTATAGTTATGCTTATGGAAATGTGTCAAATATTAAAAAGGGTTATGAGCATATACCTTAAGTTAAAATGGTGAGAAAAATACTCCCACCAAAATTAAGTTTATCATACTTTATAGATTCCTTACTTACACAAGTGTACATGCATACCCAATTGATCAATCAAACATTATGTCTAGTCACCATATATCAATAGACTGCTTGCTTGTCAAACACTTTCCATGCCTAAAATCATGACCACAATTTAATCCAAACACTAAACCTATACGCCTCTGCCACCATAAAAATTTCCCTATTTTTGTTTTCTTATCTATTTCTCTATCTTTCTCATATCCTGATAAGTAACACATGGAGAGAAATAAGGAAATAGGTGCAATGAAACGGAAATAGAGAAATAGTTCTCCTCTACTACCTTGACTTTGCAGAATCAATCAACAATTAATCATAATTAACAAATGAAGCTTGCTTAATTACTCAATTATCAAACTAATCATATAATTATTATTAAAAAAAAAAACAATAAACATTAATAACATACCTGCTTAGTGAGTTTATTTGAAGACGGTTTCGGAGACAGCAGCCTAGGCGACTTTGTCGAAAAAACGGAAACGGGCGACCCGTACTCCGACCCGTTAAGCTCATCAGAAAACGACGAGAAACTCGACTGCTGCGACAGTAAAAAATCCGTGAGAGACTCGGACGCCGGGACCTCGGCTTCGGTGACGTCCCACAAAATCCAGTTCTGGGTGGAGGACGTGGTAGGGTCGTCGTGAGTGACCGCGTTCCTCCATGGCGGCGGCCCACCGTTGGCGCGCAAGTACTTGCCGCACCACGTCCGAAGCTTGAGCTGAAAGCCGTCGCGTATGGGCTCCCACTCGAACTTGAAGTCCATGCTCTTGTCGGCTTCCGCCTGGAGCACTTTTTTGCCTGTCATGCCGAGGAGGAAGGGGTAGTCGGCTGCGGCGAGGTAAAGGCCGTGACAGCTCTTGAGGCGGACGACGTGGGATTTGTTGTCGACGAGCTCGACTGTCCAGCGGGCTTTTCGGGAGTCGCCGTTACGGCTCTGGCGCACGGACTCTTGATTGTCGTCGGCGACGAGGTACTTGTCGAGGTGGCTGCGGAGCTTCACGGCCTTGGCGGTGTTGAAGAACTCCATGGTGATGATCAATGATCAAGTTGAGAGTGATGAAGATGATTGAAATTGATTATTGTTGTGGGATTTTAGTAAGAAGAATTAAAAAATGGAGAAATTGAGGTGATTTGGAAAAGGTTGGTTTGTTTGGAAATTGCTTGTTGGTATTAAACTTGTTCACACATTAACGATGAAGTCATAATAATATTAAATTCGGCATGTTGGCGAGAGCAGAAGATGAGAAGAAACTGAGACTTTGTTAATTGACTGAGGAAGATGATGAAGTTTCCTGGTGGGAGCAAATTAATTGTGTCGAAGAATATAAATGGGGGTTTTTGGGGTTTGGGGTAGCACGTGACTAGCAGAAAAATCTTATAAAGAAACGCGCAAATAACATTGTTTTGCTATCTACGCCAATTATGTTATGCAAAATGAAAAAATTATAATGACCATTGGATAATTATGACAAATGTTTCACCGTGACTAGGTAGGGAGATGCAGAATTGACCATTGGATGTGCTCGTGAGACATGAAGTCATGGGAACGCGTCCGATGGTGTTGTCGTATCGTCTAGAAGCTCATGTTGGTGGACCGATGGTACACGCCCTTGCTTCTATTTCTTTCTGTCAAACTAAGACTGAACTTACCTCCACCACCAAAAACAAAAAAGGAAAAAAAAGGGGGATTGATTTACTTTCTTCGTCTCTAGAAACAAATACAATTAATGTATTAAATGAGTTAAATTATCTAATATATTGTTTTTTTTTTTATACAAACGATAGTTTAAATTATTTTAAATTATTTTAATATAAAATGAGGATGAAACGGTTTTAGGCCGGCGTACTCTACAACAATTATATATATATATATATATAGAGAATATCACTTAATTATCTTTCTCATATTTATTTTATAGCAGCACTCTTATTTTATTTTATATTCCCTCTCTCATCTCCATTATCTTCCCCTTCCCACTGTCATGTCCATTTAAATGGGCTTCTTACTTAGAGAAGATGATTAGTTCTGGAAAAGTAGACGCTGTTTGGCATTAGCTGGTGTAGTGAAAATGGTTGGGGCAGAATAATAAGTTACTGGATTTTCATGTCACTATCTTTCCATCCACCCATAAAATATTCCAATGTATTTATACGTACAAAACGGTGGAAAAGGATAGCCTCTTATCTTATTTTCCCAGCAACAACTTCAAAATTGGCCACTCTCATGCTAAAACTCGTTGGCTTAATTAGGTCCCTGATTGTCGCAGTGACAATTTCAGTAAAATACAATATATACAACACCAAGCGTGAGTATACAAGGTCAAACCGATTGTGACTCTGAATGATAGCACCAATTTGAAAACTAAAAAATAAAAAAAGGTTGTAGATGGAGCACAAAACAAATTTAAGCTCAGATGAGGCCATATCTCTTAACGGCTAGATTAAATTAATTAGCTGTTAGATTCAATTAGTTAGTTAATTCAACAGTTAAGATATAGTGCCTCATCTCCTGATCACCCACAGAATTCTAGTCACAGCGCCATATCCACAAAGACGTTTTTCATGGGCCATGCATTGGTGTCGCTGGGTTCAAGAACGTGATTTATAGTGGGCTTGAGGCCTTAACTTCAACAAAACAGTACCAAGGGCAAAAAAGAAAAAAGAAAAACAGATTTAAGGTTGCTTGATGTTGAAAGCGGAGACCCCTATGCTCTGCTACTGCACGGCTGCATCTATTCCTCAAGTACAGAAGATAATTGTTTATATATTATTTCCCAGAAATCGACGAGCTTTTTATAATTTCCATGCTCATTTTGGTCTTGGGGGCCCTTACCATTATAAATTTTAAAAAAGAAAAGGCTGTTCTATGTTTTCACCCTCCCTAGTTTGTCAAATGCTTTCGCATGCCCCAGTCAACACAAGCAATAAGAAAACAAACAATGTCACATTTCTAAGTCCCATTTTTATTATTTATATATCTAACTCTGAGTCTTAATAATTCATTAATACACGAATATATGTTGACAGGGAAAGACCTTATGAACCTCAACCTTAAAGCTCAATAATGGTGGAGGAAAAATACAGAAGAAGTTGCTTACCAAAGTAATTTCAGACCCAGAAAGCTAAAGTACGTATGAATGTGATGTTACACCCTAAAAAGTTAAAAAGTAAAAGCATTTATGACTGCTGCAATTGAAAGAGAATAGAAGAAAGAAAAGGAAAAGAAGAGAAACAGGTAAGAAATCTATGAAAATAGAAACAAAGAGGTAAATAAATATTTCCACATAGACCTCGATCGCCGGTCGTCCACCCACCCCTTTCGAGTTTTTTTGTCTTCTCTCCACCTTGCTTCACGTGACCCTCCTCCCTCCTCTACATCAGATTCAATTCATTTCGAGATCTCATTTTTATCTTTTCATGACTTCTAAAACTACACTCTTTACACTCTCTCATTCCCATTCCCATCCATGCCTCCACCAAACCCAACCACACTCTCAGCAGCCCTTGTCTTCCTCCTACTGACAATCTTCTCAGTTTCCACAGCCACCCACTCATGTTCTTCAAAACCAGAGGCCTCCTCCTCCTCCGCATTTTCATGTCCACCATTCACTTCACCACCTCCCTTTCCTTTCTCTTCTTTACCTGGTTGTGGCCACCCTTCCTTTCAAATCAAATGCTCTGCTCCTCATTCCACCATCTCCATCAATAACTTCTCTTTCTCTCTCCTTCGCTACGAACCCAGCTCCACCTCACTTGTTCTCTCCCCTCACATCACCAACTCAACAAGCTCACTTACAAAATCAGCCGACACAAACTGCTCGTTCCCTCACTTTCTCTCCATCCCCGACCACTCCATCAACCTCTCTGCCTCGCCTTTCCGAATCTCCGACGCTTCTTGTTCTCGGCTCTCCGTTCTCAAACCTTGCTCCCCTCCAACTCTTCCCAACTGCAGCCATTGTCCTTGGGAATGCAAGCTCATCAAAAACCCACTCAAGCTTCTCCTTGACTGTGGATCTCCACACCGCCCTGTTACAGCGCAGGGCTGCCAAGGCGATGTCTTGGGCTTTCTCGACAATTTCCTCAAATGGGGGATCGAGCTCGAGTGGGACGAAGCTCAAGACTCTTACTTTTCTAGCTGCAGAGATTGTCAGGCCAACAATGGCTTCTGTGGCTTCAATTCCTCTGACCCAGAGAAGCAATTCCTCTGTTTTCACCCCAGGCCTCGCTTTTCACCTCCGTGGATTAGCAAAGACAGCCCCAATCGAATCGCCATCTTGTCCTCTGTATTCACATTGGCTTGTTTCCTAGTCATTGTCTCAGTCTTTATAGCCATTTTCAGGTCCAGAAGATTAAGCTCCTCTGCCACAGAAGAAGACCCAACAACCCTCTTCCTCCATCGCCACCGCTCAGCCAGTCTTCTCCCGCCAGTCTTCACATACGAAGGCCTTTTCCAACAAGTGCTTCTGCAACGAAATCTTGATACTCTCTTCGATTGACCACCCAAACCTGGTCAAACTCCACGGCTATTGCAGCGATCCCAGAGGCCTTCTTCTGGTCTACGATTACGTCCCTAATGGAACTCTCGCCGACCACCTTCACGGCCCGAAGAGCTTGTACCGTAAAGGGTCTCTGACGTGGCAGGTAAGGGTCGACATTGCTCTGCAAACGGCCATGGTTATGGAGTACTTGCATTTCTCGGTGGTGCCTCCTGTGGTGCACAGAGACATAACGTCGTCGAATATATTTGTGGAGAAAGACATGAGGATCAAAGTTGGGGACTTTGGGCTGTCCAGGCTGTTAGTGTTCCCCGAAACGTCGTCGTCTACGTCCGGGTATGTCTGGACCGGCCCGCAAGGGACGCCCGGGTACTTGGACCCGGATTACCACCGGTCGTTCCGGTTGACGGACAAGAGTGACGTGTACAGCTTCGGGGTGGTGCTGCTGGAGCTGATATCCGGGTTGAGAGCGGTGGACCAGAGGAGGGACAAGAGGGAGCTGGCGTTGGCTGATTTGGTGGTGTCCAAGATCCAGATGGGTCTGCTCCACCAGGTCGTCGACCCGGTTTTGATAGTGGACGGAAATGTGATCGACGGCGTTGATGTGGCGGCTGAGCTGGCGTTCAGGTGCGTGGCGGCGGATAAGGACGACCGTCCAGATGCCAGGGAAGTAGTAGAGGAGCTGAAGCGTATCAGGAGCCGTACACGTGGGATGAGCCGGGCCTCGAGTTCGAATTTGATTGGTGATGAGGTGGCGAAGGGCTGATTTGATTTGATGGGCGGGTGTGCGTGTGTGGGGTCAGATGCACATGTGCGGGGTTTGACTGACAAGCGAAAGTGAAAGGGAGAGAGAGTGTTCGTGTTGTGTCTCATCTCAGCTCTCAGAAGAAGGTTTTTGTGTCGCAGAAAAAGACTCTGGACTAGATAGAATGTGAATAGATAGATCTGTTTGGTTACTTTAAGAACTGTGTTTTTTTTTGTTTTTTGTTTTTGTTTTTTTTTTCCAGTTTCTGGCTTTTACTGTGTATTATAAATTCCAATATATTCAAAATCGAATTTTGGCGTTCTGTTCATATTTGTGCAAACCTAAGTGCTCATCTCACTAAAACAAACCAAAGGATGAATTTACTTTGAATTTTGATGTAGAAGAGAAAAACATAAATTGTTTCCAAGTTAAGGAAACTAACATCAAATGTACATATTTGTTCGTGTTACAAGCTGTGGAAATTTGCTTGTGTCCTTATTTGTTACATTACATGTACAACACCTTGATTTGGTTGGCTGTGATCTTACTGGTTATGGGAAATATGCAGTCTCCAAAAGCTTGGCTTTCTCACTTGCAATTGCAGCCTCCTCCCTGCCTGTCAGTTTATAGCCCCTCTCCTGCAAGCAAAACACACTCCTTTAAATGCAACTGTTCTAACAGAGAATGGTCCTAGAGCTCGTATTCAAATATAAAATTATTATGCTAAAAACATCTTCTAGTATAGCAGAGATATATACCAGCAGACGCCAAAGGAAAGGGATCCCTTCTCTTGTTTTGATCCGCTTCTCAATCACTTCGATTGCTAGAATTCGGACACAAAGTCAGAAACAAAACCACCGGAAGGTTTGATGGCGAAAGAGTAGCATATACCATACCTTTCGTGGCTTGTCCATTTTTAAGCAACATACAGTACCAGACTTCATTGAATATATCAACCTGTTCACCTGAGGCTCCGATCATCTTGCATTGTAGTAAGTGGATAGAAATTCTTTAGTGTTCCTCTATGTGAAAATAGGCCAGAGTAAGAGTAAGACAAGCAAATAAGTTCTCAGTGTTAATACCTTGCAGTCATCAGCATCAAAGTCAGGACCGAGCAATTCCAATGCTTGTTTTTCATTACCCCTCCCATACTCGTACAAGGCTTCTGCAAGCTGATAACAATGATATTGTGAAGATGCCCCCAACGTCAATAGGAAGCAGTTCAAATTGATGCTAGAATATGTTCTAAAGTGGTAAGAATCATGGCTCTTTTATTTTTCAATGAAATGATGCCTGTTATCTCTAATGCCAACCCAAACTGTAGCAATCATAGTTTCTAAAATCATTCTATTCGTTGACAGTATTAAGGAAAAAGTCCTGGGTAAAAGTAATAACACAACTTCTTAGTGCTCATAAAAAGTTGAATGCCTGGGTCCCTATATGAGGCAGATTCAGTAGGTAGTGTGATGTGACCAATGCACATATAAAGGTACCTTTTGAAGAGGCAATGCAGAAACAATGAACCAAAGAATAAATAATGATTCCAATATAAAAATTACTGAAGAGGTCACAATCAGAATAAACCTGTATTGGTCTTTGCATTAGCTGTTGCTTCTTCTTCTTCATCTTAGCAATCCTACATGAGGAACAGACTAGCAATCAATGCATTGCTGGATACCATTAAGAGTGTGGTTGAGAGTGGAAGGATCTTTTAACCTGGACTGCAAGCCCTTAAGTAAATCTTCTGCCTTTGAAATCTCACCAGTATTAGCCAAGGCCCATAAAATTAACACGTCAAGATGCCACTCTAAATACCAGTTGGCCTGACCAAAGTGGAGCACATTCAGATAGCAGAACTAGATTAAGGGTGAGACAATAATTAACAGCATATGAAGCATACATAACCTAGAGAGCTAGCACTGGGATAATAGCTACAAGTTCATATATATTATTTTTCCAAATCTAGGAACCAGAAAAGTGATAGATATCCCTTGACACATTATACTGGCCATCTTTATTATACAGGCGTATTCCGTAATTCTCAGATCTTCTATTCTTTGCTACAAATCGAGCACACTTCTTGCGAAAATTGAACAGAAAATGAGGTTTAAACATCCCCTCAAATTGCAGATCTCTCGAAATCTCAATTACAAAGGCATTAGGAATCATATTACACATAAGATTGGTAGGGAATAGGAGTCATGTTCTGTAACTTACTTGATCTGTCACGCAATTTGCTAGGGTCTTCAAACGGTCCTCAAAGGCATCTATTTCACCTCGGACATGCACCCGTAACAACAACCCAAGGGCATTCAAGTACACCTAATTGAACAAGAAGTTAGGAATGAGAGATGCAAAAGAGCTGGTCATGTAAAAAATACTTGAAATAAACCTCTGGACATGCAGCATCAGGGTTCTCCAACTCCTTCCAGATACAATGGTCATATACATTTAGGATTGTTTGGATTGGAGAATGGCCTTCTAAATAACAAAGAGCTACATGCCACCAATTGTGTGTGACCCTGATAATCGTCAAACTTCTTAGCATCTAAATATCAAGTGAAGAGAAAAAAAGAAGTTCAAATTTGAATAAATTCAATGTGCGTACATAAATGACGAACAAGGATCCCATAAAGATGAGCACTCTTTCATAAACTCTACTGCTTCTTTAAAACGACAATCATACTGAAGAACATGGCACAACTGCATAACAAATTAAGAACACATGAATTACAACAATGAGTCAAGAACTTAAGCATTAGAAACTTCTTGTGACAACTAGCAGATAGTGATATAAAGCAAACTAGATAATTATAACTCACGTTATGGTGCACCCAGCAGTCTTGCTTGTTGATCTCATATCCCTTTTTTGCAGCTTTCTCAGCTTCTGTCATTCGGCCAAGTTCCAATAAAGGAAAAGAAAGCATGCCATATATGTAATTTTCTTGTTCATTATTGGGTAGAACCTGTTAGCAGATTGTTACAACAAGACAAACAAGAAAACAAAACAAGGATTCCCACCAAAAAAAGGTTCCACTAATATCTTAAAATGCTCAAAACCCCAGATAATGTGTGTTTCTATTAAGTCATAAACTATTATCCTTTGGATGAAATTGCTCAATAATTCATGCAAACATGGTTGGTAATAAATTAAGTACTCTCCACTATGTTCAACGAAGGTATAAACTTCACATATCCTCAACATAGAAATGAACCTGTTGAACAAGATCCAATGACAGATCAGGTCGAGCCATGTAGAAGCAGAGCACTTGGGCCCTTTTCAGAGAGGCCAGATCTTTAGGGAAACTTTTCAAGAGCTGCAAAAATAAACGAAATGAAATTTAATGAACAAAGCCTATAGAACAATAAAAGACTAAACTTATATTGAAGTACTGGAGACCGAAGCTTGGACAAATTACTTAAACCACACAGTATTTACTCCTATACTATTTACCACTACTAGTTCCAAAATAGGGAATATAAGAAATTCACCTATGGACCATTCCATTTTATTTATATAGATGAACAAGGGGAAACAAGCATTTGAAAACATTGTCAAAACAACTGAGCAAGATTATGCTTCATTAACAGCTTTTCATTTCTTGGGTTCAGGATGATATTTTTTTTTATCGGTTATGCAATTCATTATGAGAAATTGAGAAGATGTCACTAAATCATTACGGCACAGCGAGTTTTATGAGGAAAGTGATTGAGCAATCTGTAAAAAAACTAAATTGGCATTGAAGTGAAAAAAGTTTATAGTTTGAGGCAATGATCCGAAATATTATACAGATAAGCAGAACCAAACTAAAGGTGGGCAAGTACATTTCTGGATCATCTGCAATGAATAACCGCATGGCTGACCAAATAGTTAACATGGAGGGTGAAAATTGTGGAGAAAGTACAATTTAAAAGCTGTGGTGGGAAACCAAGTAAATAGGTATGCACATCAAGAGAGGAAAATCCCCACTACTAAAGAGGGTGGGTAGTGGGTCACCTTAGAATGCAACTCAACAGCAACATCATCATCTCTATTCTCAGAAATCAAACAATTGACAGCGTCAAAAACTGCTTTCTCGTATTGAGTAGCTTGCTCCTGTGCATAATAAATTTCCCATTACACCTCTCCAAGATTAATTTACAAAAGATGTCAAATTGTTCAACTTCAAACAAGCTTACCAGCCGAGACTTGGCTGCTTGGAGATGAGAAGGAGCTCGAGAAGGATCAGAGGAGCAGAGAAAATGGGCAGCCAAGATGTTAGCAAGCACGCAGTCCTTGTCATGTGACGGTGCCTCCAATATCACCGACCTATGTCTCCCATAACTCAACACCTACACTCATTCACCAAAAATCCCAGTACCCATCTCAAATTTTGACATACAAAACCAATAGAAACAGAAAAATTGAGTAAAAGAAAGGAGATTAAGACATGCCTGGTCATAGAAATCGTTGATGGCAGATATGCAAGCGTCTGAAGAGGTCCTCACCTCGTAGCCCCATTTGTCAACTTTCACTCCTCCCTCCATTTCCTAACTCTACTCACCTTTTTGTTTTCTTTTTTATGAGCAAACTCTACTCACCTCTTTTTGAATCAATAGCTTGTTGCTTAAAAAAATCAGAGTCTTTCTTAGCCAAAACAATAGCGGTGACTTCAACGGAAACTGGGTTTTAGTTTTTTAGCTGTACAATTTGCAAATGGGTGATCATATTGATAACATAAAATATGACGAAGGTCTTTGTCAATTGTCGCAGTTGTTTTGGTGGATAGTCTATTATTAGCATCAGCGCCTAATCTTTTTTCTCTGTTGTCAGATGCCTTATGCGGTTCGAGTAAGGTAGGGACATAACATTTGGATCTGATACTATTCAATCCACCGTGGACACAACAGCAAAGCCCACGTCGCCTGTGCATAACATTTGTTTTCTGTTTTTAAGTGAACTAAAATGGTTTATGTAATTTTGCTTTGAAATGGACTGGTAAGTGCAGTTTTAGGCCTAAACAAGCTTCCAGTTGGTAGTTTTGGGCCTTGAGCCCAATTGTAATTTGTAACTCAAAAGTTAAGTTCACTTTCAACCAAGAATTCTTTAGTAAGGATCGACCTTAGGTGAGATTCTATTTCTTAATCATTGAATCAGGCTAATCAATTTGATTCAACTGCTGATTAATTTAATCCAACGGTTAAACGATAGAGCCAGTACTCAAAGTTCAAAGTATTAATTGACAATGGTTATTTAAAAGATAAAAATAAAAACAAAAATAAGGATACATGTGTTCTCCATGTAACATTGAGAACATAAGATAGAGACATAAAATAGCCCAAG